TCTGTATATCTCAAATAACACATGCAAATCATTCCAGTTTGGGACAAGCCACCACAGAGATCCACTGTGTACTGAGAAGATTTTTCAGCCAAAAACGAGAAAAGCCACGTAAATGGCCAGAGTGCTTTTAAAATGGAGGGTGCCAAAAAAACAGCCTTGTACATGTTTACAAAATTCTCACTTATAAAAGTTGCAGTATGTCTACCACAGAAACTATATTTGGCCTTGAGGGTTGGAAGAGAAAGAAAACAGGCAAGATGCAGCTTGGCAGAGGCAGTACCTGGCAAAATAAGAGACACTTATCATAATGAATGAAAGTTCATGACATCTCCATAGCAATCTACCATGTACAGCCAGCCAGCAGTGACTTCTTTGAGGAATCCTGCTGTTTACACACCAATGCTAAGCAACCTTTTTCAGCTCTTGAGCATCACATTTTAGCTCTACGTTGAAGAAAATTTCACAGATTACATAGCATACAGTGTTGCTGTAACCATAACACTGATTTCAGCTACAGACGTACTAAAGCTTAACTGCCACACGCACATTTGTCAGCTCTCCGTTTTATGAAATGACTCGGTGATGTATCCAAGTTAAATGCATTCCTGACACTACATAGAAGTAATAATAAAAAAAATATAATCTGCGTGTTTGTATCTGGATGAGTCATAAATTTTAAACAGAAAGATGGTGTGAGTCTGTATTTGATACACTGAAACAATTTTAATATCATTGCAGGTTTAACTCACAGCCACATTTTTCTAAACTGCTTTGGCTGCAATGCAGTTTGGATAGCTACACCACAGTGCCTAGAACAGTCTCGGAGAGGTTTCTGGGAGATTTCTGGTAGAGTAATAGTTCTGCAATTACAGTAGGCTACAAACCTTGCTAAAGTATGAATACCAACTTTGAGATGTCAGTAATTGGGCTCCAGTCCTTCACTAAGTTCCCCTTGAGCTGCCAATACCCTGGCTGCCTCAAAATAACATCATGGTCAGAGTTGAAGTGGTAGGAAGCAAAAGGTCTCCCAGCTGTTTAAAATCCTGAACAAAAATTATTTAGGAGCACATTTGATAATGTTCTCATGCAGGTAAAAAACCTGAGAATTAAACCCCCAAACTGCCGCGTAACACCAAAAATGGAGTGTTGGTGAAATTACTAAAGAATAAAACAGAACATATTCATAGGTAAGCAACATGCCCCAGCTTAAAGACACCAGAATAGGAATGCAAGGTAAAAGGCTTGAGGGATATTCTCATTCATTAAAATAATGAGTTTGCAGAGGGAAGAACAGTTTCATTGCACCCTGCATCCACCCAAGCAAACATTCAGTTTAAGCTGAACAGGTTCTCAGATTTGCAGAAAGCCTTATCTACCCTACTTACATCACAGAGAAACCAGTTCAAGTACTTCCATATGAATATGAAGCAAGCAACCTGGGAGGTTAAACCAGTTCTTAAGAATAGCCAGCTTCTCTGGAATAATGGAAAAGACTGTCCATCCCAGGTATGCGTAAACTGCAATCAAGGTAGCTCTCTGCTTCCATCTACATGAACGGTTTACCAAGAATCATTATGAGACCAGAGAAAGCTAGGCAAAAAGGCATCTTATTCTTACAGTTTCACTGAGGACTAAAAAACTTCACTGTCTCTTTTGCAAGTTCCATGTATCCTGGAATAAACTGAAACTACCTTTCTTCATTCTTTTACTGAGTCTGTTTCAAAGTCACACTCACAGAGATATACTGAAATTGTAAAAATAACCAGTAACTCCACACATTCACCTAAGAAGCACGTTGACTAATTCTAATGCTATTTAAGAAATATTTTCTAATATTTCTGATTTAAAGAAAAAAGACACAGCTAGTTTCTTGATTAGGTCAGTATCTGTAGGTGTGTAAAGGTTAGAAATGCAAAGGGATCCCCATGGACCATTACTGCAGACAGGACAAGACTCCACTTGATAGGTACAGTTTCAGGACTGAAGATTATAAATACTAACTACTGCTCAAACATCACCATATGACTGAGTAATAACTTTTACATATGGCCAGCACCACAAGACTTTTTCTGTTGCTGTGATTTCTCTCTCTAAGCTTTCCATTTTTATGTCTACTTTTCCAGCACAACTTTTAGCATCAATGTAATTTTTTTTTCAATGGTTTAGCTTTTCTAAGAAAATGCAAATGATTTTCAAGGGTAACAACAAAGTTTGCTACTCAACAGATCAACTGCCTCAACTACCAATCTCAAACTTGCCAGGGAAAAAACAAAACAAAAAACCACTAGTTCTTTCCACTGCTTTGCTGACGTTGTTTAATGCAAGAAAATCAGTGGAGATCTTCACTAACACTGAACAGACTTCATGTAGATAAACTTGCTCTCTTCATCTCCACAAACAAGAACTGGAGACTCCTATTTTCCAGCAACACTAATCCAACTTCCACCACATTTGAAAACTTGATAAAATTATCCTTTTGAACATATATAAACCACTGCTTTGTACTATACTGGGCTGTAAAAAGAATTCTTTTGGGGACCAGTGAAGTAGCCACTGCCTTCTGGATGCATTTTGTGATTTCCCTTGCTGGCTAGCAATCACCTAAACCTCACAAAGTTCTAAAATGAAACTTTATTGAAATATTAACCCCTCAAAACCAAACCTGAATGGCATACTTAAGTAACAGAATATTGGAATATTTTCAAATTTCTTGTCAGACTTAACACAGAGTTCTGTACAGTTGTTGTAGTTCAATAAAGAATTCTCAAGTCATTGACAATTTTGTCCAACCTGCAATTGGTGGGTAAGATCAACAGTTCAAATCACTCAAGTCACAGGCCAATACTATACAAAAGAAAATTCCATCTCTTTCATTCTGCAGCCGTTTACTGTCTCACCACAAAAGAAAGAGCTAATCTGTTGGTTACTTGGAAATCCAAGGAGCTAGGAATGCCTGGGGACTGTAACTACTTGCTAGGCAAGCTTATTCTTCCCCCATTGGCACAACTGCCAGAGAGCACAAGAAAAGCATAACTAAGACAACTAGAGCAAAAGCACATGGAAACTAGCAGCATACAGATCTACCCCCATCACTTCCCCACCCCCACCAGTAAGCCTTTCTCTTTCTCCTAGCACTGGGCCTCTCAGCCTTTCTTTGCCAGGATTCACACACATTAACTTCCTCTTGAATTCTGTCAGTAAGGTAACTTTCATTGCCAACACCTGAAAAAGAAAGTATATGAAACTAAAAGCAGGACAAGCGGCCAACTGCAACAAATGTGCAAAAGCTGGCAGAAATGTGAAGGAAACTGGGCTACTTATTCCAGACCTGTATGAGGCACTGGAGCACACTCTCCCCAAAAACCTCCACCTTCAACAGTTTCCAAAGTCCTGCTCACCTCTAGCAATCACTGAATTTCCCTTACTCATCCCCTTGTGACTTTCACAGAGAAACCTAATCTGTCATTCCCCAGTAACTTACTGATTACCATCATAGCTTTAGCCAGCTCTGGCCTTGCACAGACTAAGCTTTTTTGTCTAAAAGACAAAATCCCCATTTCTCTTCAGCAATCAGTTGTACCCCAGAATTTTATATACTGGATATTTTCTTGACAACTCTGCTCATGGAAGGAGAAAGAAAACACCACCAAACAGTCCCCAAACCAAATCAAGTCATACCAATAGACCAGCTACTATAGCACTACAAGTTTCACGGCTATGTTACATTCATTGCTCAAATTGCAAAGCAGCTGCAAAGCCAGCTTCCATTTTGACAGCTCTGTAAACACTGACAGCACAACCTCAAGATGTTTATGGACCAAGCTCCGAACATTAAAATCGAAAAGGACAACTCTTAGGTTGATAGTATATTATCTTCACAGGTGAATTTTGTCTCTTGAGGCTCGAGCACTACTTAAAAATAACGGGAAAGCAACACACAAAAGAAAGTTTCTGGTAAGCAAGCCTGTCGAGCGCAGCAGGCAGGTTAGAGAAACGCGGCACTGACACACCGGAGCCACACCAGGGCACGTTTGGGGGATCAGAGCAGAGGGCTGCACCAAGGCCGCCGAGCCAGGGCGCACGACGGGGGTGGTGGGGGACGCACCTAGGTGCGCTTACCCTCCGCCGCTCTGCCGCAGGCCCCGGCCCCCCAGCCGTGCCGGTCGCGGCGCCGCGGGGCGTGGGTTTCTTTGTTCCCTGGATGCGGCGGCAGAGCCAAGGCGGCCGCGGCGGCGGAAGAGCCCGTCCCGCTGCTCCGGGCAGCCCCTCACACCCTCAGCACGGACTGATGAGGCGGGGCGGGTCCGCCAGAGCTCCGCCGACCCCAGGCGGGCTGGAGCTGGCCCGAGCGCCAGGGCGCGGTCCGGGCCAGGGAGGCGGGGCGAGGCCGTCCTCTCCCGCCGGAGCAGGACCGCGGCACGAGGCCAGGCGCGGGAGACGGGACCGGGAAGGGAGGGCGACGGACGGAGCCTTGTCCCTCCCACAGGCCCAGCTCGGGCGGGGGCCCGGCGGCCGCGGCACTCACCCAGGTGAGGAGGCTCTCCCCGAGCTCGGCCCGCTCCAGGCTCTCCACGTTGAACATGGCGGGATGCAGCCGAAGGAAGGGGGGGGGGGGGGGGTGTAACGGCCGCGGACGAGTGGGTACCGCCGGCGCCCCCTCCCGCCCTGTCCCAGGCCGGGCCGCGGCGTCGACACGTCAGAGCGACCTGACAGTCAACGTACTGCGTGCGCCTGCGCCATGCGGCCGCCGCGCGAGGGCGGGGGAGACTCGACGGGAGGCGACGGGACGCGGCGCTGGCAGGGAGGGGGGTGCGGAGGAGGGCGGGGCTGCGGTCGGCGGCGGGCCCTGTGAGCGCCGGGAGCTGCTGAGGTACCGCCGCGCGGGGCCGCGCTTCAGCGCACGGCACTGAGGGGAAGGGACGGCGGTGCGGCCTCGGCTCGCCCAGCCCGAGGCGCACGGCACTGCCAACCCGTTAGAACCGGCGGGAGGGGGCGGGGGGTGTCGGTCCCGGGAGGTGTGAGCGGCGCGCTGGGTGTCTGCCGCGGCCCTTCAGCCCGGCCCGGTGTTCGACTCCACTGCCGCGGGTGGCAGTAAGCGGGGACCGGCTCTGCAGGGGAGCGAGGCGCGGAGCGGTCCGCTGCAGGCCTTGAATGCCGCCGGGCCCCCGAGGCGTGCCTGGGGGAGACACAGCCGTACACGGGGTCTGCCCCCTGATCTGTGTGCCTGCTTGTCCACGGCTTGTGGCGGTTTGGAGCTGCCCGGGGGTTGTCCTAGGCAGGGCTGAGTGGGACCTGCAGCAGCGCCCTGCACCCCGGCAGTCCCTGGCTTTGGGAGCGTAGGCTTGTGAGGACTCTGCACCCAGACATTCTCTTGCTAGTGAGTAATAGGGCTTGGCCTGTGAAAGGAGTAGTCTCTGTGAGGTTTTCCTCTCTTTTGGGAGTAGAAAGTGACATTAACTTCCTCTCATGAAAACTCGTGTAGTAAAGTTTAGTTATTATAAAAATAAACTTACTTATTTAGCAATAGCAGCAAGTAATTCAATTAATTTTTAATCTTGAAGATAAGGAGTGTGTTTCATGGCTGGAGCAGCTCTGCACCTTTGCTGCCCCGGACAGAGTAGCTCTCCATTATGCTGCAAAGGGATTGCCTGAAGAGTCCAAGAAGCTCCTTCCCGGTAGTCAGTTTTGGCCCACCTGAAGTTTGCAATGAAAATGTCGGATGTCATGATAAGCTGTACAGTTCCCTATCAGTTAGCAGCTGGCATGATGTGTGACATGGCAAGCCCAGTGCCCTGATAACAGCTGAGGGTTGAATAAACAACCAAGAAAGGAAGGGTTGCAGATCTAGTAACTAGCACTTTGTTCCTGTTTCATGACAGTTCTTCCATTTTGTAAGTTGGTAGCATTGACAAAATCTGAGTGTTCCTTTGTGCCAACTGGTTTCAAGTTAAAAATGTATTATAAAAGCTTGACAGTATGACAATTCTCAGGTTTTCCCAGTAAAGTACCTTCTTACTGATCTCATTGTACAACCTGCTCGTTTTACTTTTAAGTCATGGCTTTGGTCTCTCCGTTTAAGACCAGCTTTCCCATTTGGGAATGAGTTGAAAAATTTTAAAAATCTATATAAGCTGCACGGCTGTATCTTTCGCTTCAAAGTTTTAATGTGTACTTTAAGCTATATGCTTAAGCTATATGCTTTGACACAGGTGCTTCCACTGGTATATTTCAGTGTTTAAGGTTTTCTGCTTCATCTTCTTTTATGTACCCATTTTCCACTTGCCTGTTGTCATACATGTAGCTTACATTCTGTGTTTTGTTGATGTGAACACAGTAATGCTTTCCCTCTTGCTGCCTATTTTAGATGTAGGGTTGCATTCAGAAGCATTACTTTCTATAATACAGAATTCTTGGGTGCTTAAGAGATTTAAAGCCTCCTTATTCTTTGCTGAGGTATTACCGTATTTCAGTAAACATAATTGATAGTATTTCCTTTCTCTTCCTGTCTGATCAGAAAAGTCAAAAATCCAGCTGAAGGCCAGTTCTCTCTCAGGTTCCTATCTACATATGAATTCAGTTCCACCTTCTATTTTTTATTAGAACTCTATGCTTTTAAGCATGTTTTAGCCTCAGTGGAACTTTTGTGGAGAATGTTTTACAGAGGTCATGCATCACCCAGGCAGACATTCCAAATAGTAATGCTATACAGACCACTGAATTTGTCTTTTGCTTCAAGCAATCAACATAGTTTCAGGCTTATGAAAAAAATATTTCCCCAGTAGCATGGTGTATTAACTCAGCATTATATTCCCTTACCAAATGGCATCTGGAGTTTGCATCTGTAGTATTGTTAACTTGAAAGCGTGATTACGCCAGCAGAAGTAGACTATATATATATGTATATATATATGTATGTATATATATATATATAAAATTTTATTTTTTTCTCTTCAGGGAAAAATGTGTCCCCAAGACTGCTGACCTCAGACCTTGCAGATCTCACCTTACCAGGCAAGTGCCTCAGTTGGTCAGTTCTTAAGGTGTATTGAACAAAATTATTATTTGCGTACTGAAATTGTCCTCTCTCCTGTTTTGGCAAGACCCTTTATGCTTTTTTCTTTCTCTTTTGCAAAACGCATGCACACACATAAATGTAGACCACATAGTCCTCAAAAACAAAAGTAGCTTATGGTGAGAAGATGACTGAATATGGTACTGCTGAGTTTGGCTATAATTTTGCTGTACCAGCTGAGCTGATTTGTGACTTCAAAGTTGCTGCTAACTCATAATAGTGCTGTATTAACAGATTGCATTAAATAGTAGTAAGATTATTCCAGGTCATCTTTAACAACCTTCTCACAGAATATAGCTTGTCAGTTTGTATGTTGCTATAGTTGATTTATTATTTTTTTTTTAATTCCCATAGTAAGTGTCCCCTTTGGGTGATCTCCTCCTGATTTTTGAAAGGTATGGAGATACTTAATACTAGAGATTATTGTGTGTGCTTTATTCAAATAAGACACAAAAATGAAAAACTAATAAACCTTGTTTCCTCCAAACAACTTTTTTTAAGTACACTATCTGTCATTTTCCCTATTTCTGTTTTATTACATGATGTGTCTACAGCCATTTTTCAAAATCCGCCTTTAGTACACTGGAGTACCTGGATAAAATGTATCAACTCATGATGTAGCTGATTTAGGCTAGTTAGATGTTTACTGCTTATCATGCGTGCTTAATACCTGATGTTGCTAACTCTTTCTGGATGCAGTCTAGACATACCTTTGAGCTTCTCATGAGTGAGAGCTGAAATAACTGTAGGATTCAGTTTCCTGGATTTGCAAATGTCCCATTTTGTGTAAATGTCCATATGCTGGACATTTGCAAAGTCCCATTCACAACCACTGACAGTGGCCCCAAGCTGCTGCTACCATGAAGTAATTGGATAAATTCTGATGAGAGAGGTCTCAATTATTGCTCCATATATAAAGATTCGTCTTTATTTTGGAAATTTTTGTCTGTTTTTCTCTTAAATGAAAGAAAAATCACTAAATTTTCTATGCTTTAGGTATTTCAGTGTAAGCTAATATCCATGCAGAGGGTGGGTGACGGAATAGATATGCTCCATTTTAGTATGTTTAAATTCTTAAAACTGGATTACTGTTATCTAAAACAGGTAATATTATTAGAAACCTGTTGTTACAATTTTTTTCTTGAAGTCAAATTTTGTTATTCCTTTTGCCATGGAAGGGAATTTTGAGGAGTTAAAGCTTTTTTCATCATAAAAAATATGTGACTCACAGTATTTTACTAGTTGGAGAGGAATTAGCTTATCATGGAAAACATATGTTCTCTACAAATTAAGCATCATATTTAACAGGAGTTAATGCTTCTGCTAGTGAAAGACAGCTGGCAAAAGGAATTACAGCTTCTCGCTTGCTCCCAGTCCACCACCACTGACTTAATTTTATGTATTTTCAAGAGCTGAGGTTGGTTGCCAGTACTGCAACAAGAAGAAAATACACAAAATAAAAATTAAGTTAAACAAAATAAAACAAAACAAAACTACTCCACAAAAATGCAAACGTTGTTCTCATCCAGTTCACTCCCAGCCCATCCCTGAAAGGATATGTTGTTATCCAACGTATCTTTCAGATGTTGAACAAATTTTACCATGCTGTCAAAGTCAATAAAATGTTACTCTTAGTGATTAATTTGTATTTCTCAGCAGTATTGCCTGTGTATTATCTCACTGTTTACTGCTCAGGCGTGAGGAGAGCTGCTTCTCTTTCTCTGTGCTTGTATATTCCTTTGGTAGTGGGTCCTAAAATCTCTGTGCTTTTGAGAGTCTATTAGCATGTGGTGATTCCGTGATAAAATTGGAAAAGTTTAAATTTTTCAGAATACTGAAGGGGATGTTCTGATTCTGGATAGCTTCCAACAAGTGTTTAATATATCATGGCAAACGCTAATTGTTTTCCATTTCTTTATTTCACAAAAAACATGAGGTATTATTCTAGCTGTGCTTTATGTTGAACATTGAAAGTCTTCATAATGCTTTTCAAAGCTGAAAAAATGAAGAAATAATACATCCACACTAGTGTATGTCCTCATGCCCTCACATTTCAATGTAATCTGTATGACTTTCCAAAAATAAAAGACATTCTAAATGCATTATTGCTCAGTTCTTTTTTTTCATAATCCTGCATACATTGTTCATAGTTAGTCATAGAGGGAGGAATGTTTCAAGTGTTCTGTGAACAATTCAGTCTGAGGTTGTTTACATTCTGTAGCTATCAAGAATCCTAATGCAGATAAACCTGATCCCAGTGTAAGTACTGTGCTGCAAAGTCCAGCTGTAGCTTAGCCAGCCCAAGTGGAATGGAGGAGTACCTACTTGTCCTTTTTCACGTCGCTTTGCAGTTGCATTGGTTTGCTTCAAGAAAGTACCAGTAGTTTGAAGTTGTGATGAAATGAAGCTGGAAGCTAAATTTGGAGCTCTTTTGTTGTTTCTTTTAATGTAGGAGAAAGGCCCAACATTTCTGTTGGATTTTTAAACTTTGTAACCGATACTTTTAACATGCAGAGGGTGATTGTAAAAATTGCAATTTTCATGTGAGTGTTGTTAGATGTGGTTTGGTTTTCATCCTCTAACTGTAGCACAGGATGGGGTTATGCTTTCATTTAAGAAACCTATCGCTGTTAAATGGCTAAAAAGAGAAAAAAATCTTGAGTATAACCAAAAATGAATTCTAAAAAATTAAGATTTTTTCATTTAATTTCTATTATTAAATTTCATTTCTATTTTTACTTACTGCCTTTTTTTCCTTGAAATCATTCTATTAATTTGGTACTTTTCTGAGAGCTAGTGTAGGCAAGAATTCATTTCTTGTATAAAAAAATAGGCATCATTAAAAACTTCTTTGCAATTGTATAGAGAAACAAAAGTAGTATAAATCTACAGAGAAAAAAAACACTTTAAAATTATTTAATGTCTGAAAAGCCTGTGTATAGAATTCTGATCTGAAAAGGATTCTATGGTGAAAAATTTGATGAAATGCTCTTATTTTTGCATAACCAGACAAATGTAATGGATCAACATAAAAAAGTTGAATTTAATACATACCACATCAAATTATTACTGGTTATTATGTTAGGAGAGATGAGATGTCTATGATAAAGTCTGGTTCTAGAAGTCTTTTCTGACATACTTAATCCTTGTCAGTACTGGTTGTCTCTGAAGACCGAAAGGTCTTCGCTACAATCTTTAAGAATTAAGTCTACTGTACCTCGCTTTTTAATTGTACTAGGTGAAAGGGCACCCTGCTGAACACATGCATTGGGAAGCAAGATTCCTTAGCAGCTGTTTTAGAACTGTTATCTGGTCTATTCAAACAACTGCAGATGTGTTCATGGGCTGTTGTGGTTGCACCTGAAGAAATATGAAGTGCAAGCTTGCAGTTCTAGATATTTTTTTTGAAAATGTTCAAAACAGACTTGAAATCAGAAAATTACTTCCTCCTTCAGCCAGACAATCATCAAACAGTGTATTTCAGCAGTGCTTTTGTAGCTATTGCTTTTTCCACATGCTGACCCAGAGACAAGAGTGAGAGGAGATTGCAGCTGCATCTACTGAGGCTTGAATGACTTCTGAAAAAGTATGTATTAATCTTTTGAAGTGAAACCCTTCTGTTTGTAGTTCCTAGGCTACACCATTCATGTCAGCCCTCCTGCGCAATGATCTGATTCAGAAGAAAAGTGCTAGAGGTAATAAGGGGAATATGCTTAGTATTTGTTGGCTGTCCATAAGCAGCAAGTAAGTTAAAACTTGTGAGCCTTAAGCATTGGTAGCCTGTCTTCTGTAGAACTTAGTAATAGAAGCAGCTGGGAGAGGGACTGAGCCACACTCCCAGCTTCAGGGAAGTCCCAAGGACTTCCACTCCCCCCTCTATACACACCTTGGCAATATTGATACCTAAGAGAAGTCAAAGTGTTTGAGGAGTGCCATTTTATATAACCAGAAAGACTGCATGAATTTCTTCTGGACACTACGTTTGTGTGAAAATTGTCATTGAAAAAGTCCTATGTGGTAAGTCGATGTGCGAAGTAAATACAAATAACAGGGGTTATGTGCAGGAAGGAAGAGAAGGTGATCATCTGTGCATTTCTTGTTCTGCTGCTAAGCTTGGCGCCATAGTATGCTATTTCAAGAAGAGTGCGTGAGCAGATGTAGTGAGTGCTGTTGATGGTGGGTGGATAAGGATTAAGCGTGTTGTTGCAAGGAACTTGCAGAGAGTGAAAGAGAGTGGATGTCTTGAAGGCTGTTGGAGGAAATTGAGTTTTCTTTGTGTGATACTGACAACTCATGTGTTGGCTTCAGAGTACCCCAAACAAGCAGTGACACAGGTGCCTTTCAGGTGTCAGCGAACACAGAGATACACTTGTCTTCCAAACATGCGGTTAAATTATCTATATGTCTCTACTACAGTGTGTATTTCTGGAAAAAAAAAAAAAAAACAAAAAAACACAACACCCAAAAACAACAACAACACAAAAACAACCAAACCAATGAACCAAAACCCCCCCAAAACCTGCATAGTACTTAATGGGATATAGTTGTTATTAGCTTGTTGGTCTATTCAAACACAGCTGATGCAAGACAGTGGAGGAATCATCACATACCAGTTCCTTGCCATTTTCTTCTTGTTTTGTTCTGAGTGATGAACCCAGAAATGGCAGTGTAACACAGCAGAAATTAGTGGGCTGATGATGGTACTTAAGGAGAGAAAATGTAGAAGTTGAAGGTACAAGCACACTGCCTGAAATACAGTTGTGGAAACTGAGAATGTCAGAATGACATATTATAAAAAGGAGATGCATCTTTGGTATTGGATATGCAAAGAAATTAAGTATATGGGTTGGGAATGTTGAGCACACCTACCAGTCCAGATCCTCAGTATGAAGGAACTGCTGCTCAGAAAACCTCCACATGGAGGACTCATGGATTTAACTACAGCAATATAATTTCATAACTAGCTGCCTAGACAAATGCTACAACTTCTGGCATAAGCTCTAGTTCCTGTGTAAGACCTTTCCACAAAGATCTGATCTTTTTCTCATTATATACGAACATATACATGTGAGTGTCTATGAAACCTGTGTCAATTTTGACCTACTTTAAACAGGGTACACTGGTATTTCACCTTTGAGAGAATTTACTCTCTCTAAATACTAATTGACATTACAGTAGTTAAACTGTGACACAGTTGCTTATGGAAAGATGTAATTAGCAAAAATTGTGACTATAGTTACAGAAGTAGTAATATCAGTTCAGATGGGGACACTTAAGATAACTTAGTTTGTTTCACTTCACATATGCTTCATCTTTTCATTTTTATTTTCACCATGGAAGCCCCAAAGTACAACAATTAAAGGAATCTACCCTTTGTTCTCCATGAGTTTTCTCTGCTCTTAGGGTACTTAATTATGCCATTTATCCTTTTTTACAATAGTGTTAAACTATACCATCTTCTCTTGCATTGCTGCTTTAGAGGGCAGCTCCCACAATGTGAGGAAGTTTGGAAAAAGCTCCACAGCTCATACAAGAAAAGATCTGGAGAGTGAGAATAACTATTATATGGAAAAGATGATAAAAAGATGACACTTCTATGTTAGCAGTAGACTAGCATATTGAAATCTTGCCAGGGTAGTTATTACAGGTATCCACTAAAATCCTCATGACCTGTATTCCATTTCAATTAATTGCAGTTAATTTAAGGCCACAGTGTCTGGTGATATTTGCTAGACAGCAACATTCAAATTAAAAAATTACACGTGAGCTGTGAAGCAGAGAGAAACACTGATGAAAGCTTGCAAGCTTATGCACACACACTGGACTAGGATGTGTAAAGTAAGTGATAACCTGTCTTACCTGACCTCATAAATTGATGCTGAGATTTTATGTCAGCTCTGTATGAAAAGTACTTTGATTGTGTATGGACACAGTTTAGATATGACTTCTTGGTCATTTGCCAGAATTAGTATTGTTCTCCTGGATTGGTAATATTCACAGTTGTAGTTCATTTCACTTCCTGATTGCAACAGGAGTGATTTAGCAGTGTTGGAAACTGTTTTATTTTGCTTGTCTCCAGCTGTAGGTTAATGCTGGAGATTAATAACTCTTAGCATTGACAAAGCATTCTGATTTTTGCGTATGTGAAATGAATATAAACCAAACTAGTCTAATTAGGGAGGCCTGATAAGACTCTGACAAGTTTTTCTCATGTTTCCAGCTGTAGAATGATTACGCATAGCAAGGACACATAAAATAGTGCGTCAGATCATTCCTCTGTATCTAAATGGGTGCTTAACACTCTATAAAACAGCTAACCTCCAAATGTCCTTGCTTTTTTCTTCACAGAAATGGTGCAAGTTAGGTTTCTACATTGTCTCAGTTTAGCAGAAATCATGTGTTGTATAATAGCTAAAATCCTTGATAGTGCAGAGTCGTTATGCTTTTTTAAAATGAGCTGTCCTTAGAATATGTCTTATTCAGCAGTAACCTATTCCTGGGGAAGTTATCTGGTAAAGATTCCCAGGTAAAGAATCTGACTGAGGTTTAAAAAAAATGTCTTTAGATCACAGCACAGTCATTTAAGACTTGTGTGATACTGGGCTAGACAAATGCTTTGCAGCCCTCTGCAGCAAGCTCAGTGTTTGGTAAAAACGTGTCTGTTCCCTCTTCTTTTACCATTTTTTCCCCAGTGACTATTCTGTTGCTTTAGGAATTTATTGTTTCTATGAATAGATGTTTATGCATATTATTTGAAACTGTTTAAAATGCACGTGAGCATATGTGTATTTTAATGTGCATATATATGTACATGTATATATTTCTTTTTACATTTTAGAGCTGTGATGGCCAGTCACCAAGCAGAAGTTCAGAGTTTGAAGCTTGATAATGATTCAGTTATAGAAGGAATAAGTGACCAGGTACTGGTGGCAATTGTGCTCAGTTTCACTTTCATTGCTGCTCTGGTGTATACGCTTTTAAGGTGAGATTATATTGACAGGAATCAACATATCTGTGTTTGTAAAATTCTAACTTTCTCAACGATTTTTTATATTAGTATATAAAACAACTGTGATTTTTGACATTAACGAAATGATTGATCACTTACTCTGTTTGATTGCTTGGCAGATTTTCATTATTTAATTCAGGTAGAATGAAATGATGCATTTCTTAGAAGTGAAGTTTAACTCTTCAGATGATCAAAGTGAATAATTTCATCATTCCTTAAGACTGAAGATGGCTGAATTTACAGTTTGTATGGCTGGTGTGTCTGTCATGTTTGGTTACAATGGACAGATTTGTCAGTAGTCACTCCACAATTAAGACTGGATATAATCCACCAGCATATGTTCTAGTTGCAGCCTTCTTCCATAGAAAAGACCCCAACAAAACCCCAAACATGAATAAAGTGTCTGATTCGTTTTATAAAACAATATGTTGGAAAACAGTGGGCTATAATATGCTTTCCATAAAGCAAAATATTAAAGTCGAAATTCAGTAACTGTAATGAACAAGTAATAAAAGCTGGTTTTCATTTCAGAGATTTTCCTTTCAACTTGGCAAATTCCTTAGCTTATGCGTTTTGGGAAAATAAGTCTTTGCCGAGTAGGAAGTATTTGGGAGCAAGCTACAGAACAAATCAGAGTGTGAATGCTTGGTTGGACTGCAGGTCTGTGCTGCTGTTCAGGATCAGGCAATATCAAAGAAATCTAAGAGAAGCATATGCACTTCACCTTGCTTTTCTTGCTGTTTCAGTTATTCAGATGGCTTCAAGAGTTCCTTTGGAGTTCCTTTTTTATTTTTTTTTTGCTCTGCTCTCACAATTTTTTTACCCCTGATACTGATACTTTTAACATTTGTAACTTGTGTTTCCTTTTTCTTCTCTAGTTATATTAGGCAATACAGTGATCTGTGTATTCCTTACACTGCGTCCATTACCCATATCTCTTTGCCAGCCCATACTTCAGTATGTGACATCTGAAATACTTAAGTTGGGTAGGAACAGGTCCTGGATAAAAATACATGAAAGAAGGCTTAGGGTAGTGAAGAAGGTTGTAGGAACTGAATGAAAACTTCAAGTAGGCAGCAAGGAGTGTAGGTTGCAGTGGATTTTAGGGGACAGAAGTGAAATGTGGAAAGAACTGTTAAGGGATATGGCTAGCGTACTTGTTTCCATCAGTGAGAACTCAGTGAAGCATCACATCAGGGCCTGAACTGAAGGTCTCTCTGCTTTTGGTGGAGGAACTTATTAAGAGTAATTAACATATATACCAAGTTGTAGATGTTTAGTTCAGTCACTGTAAGATACTTCTGCATAGCCTGTATGTCTTTGACTTATAAATTTCCATAAAATGCAGCTAGCTTTTTCCATCATCTTTTAAACTTGCGGGTAGGTTGTCACATTACCAATGAGACTGTGAAAATTTAATTTAGCAAACAAATTAAAGGGAGCTTGACCCTCCAGTGCTTTGTATCGGAGATTCCTTACTTGTCCCAGATGACTTACCCAACCCATGTTTATGTATCTGCAGGTTTAAAACTTTTTCTCTTAATTTCTATCCCATCAAGTGGTTTCATTATAAGATTAAATTGGTACTTTCAGCAAAATTGAGATCTTAATCCTTGGAAATTAACAATGGCCGTCACTGCACAGTAATACACCAGTCTCCATGAGTACTGTCCCTCACTTTCCCTGTGTGAAGCTGCACACTGATCATTCAGGCAGCCTTCCTCCTGGTTATTATAGATTGGTGGGGCTCTTTGTGATACATACTACATTTTTCCACATCATGGAAAGATTACGTCCTTTTACGTGCTAACACTTGAAAATGGGGAAACTAAAAGACTCCCCATCTAACTTTATTTCTTTCTGGCATTGGTAATGCCTTTAATGACATAAAACCATACTGGTTTGAATTTATTTGATTTATTTTCTCATACTAATAGAATAACAGAAGTTATGAATTTGATATGTCTTGACCTGTGCTGTCCCTTCCTGGACACTCCTCAGTGTTCGCTACCTCAGCATCTTACACATAAGTGACAGATGTTGCACATACTGTACCTCTACAGCTCTACAAATTTTCTCATGTGTTCAACGTAGTATAAAATGAACACTTTAGCAGAAAATTTGCAGTAAGTTGTTTGTGAAGGAATCAGAATAAACTGGCTTATAATTCACACTTACTATTTGTGTGTGATTTTAATTGAATTTTCGATATATATCAAAGTCCTGGCAAACTGAAGGTGAAAAATATGCTAATTGGTAGCATCTGAACAGGAAAATACTTTCATATATATAACATGAATGACAGACAGCATGCACAAAGTCTGACTCATGGAGACACAAGATGAGCTGGAAGGGTTTTAATGTAAGATTCCCATCATGTAACTTCCATATATGTCACCCACATTAGTGGGGTTATCTTTACAGATAAGCATGTAATTATTAGCATTAGAAACACGGGGTTTGTCTGTTCCTCTGAAGAAAGAATGAAGGACACCAAATGTTAAAGATAGCAGTAAGGCAGTATTATGACTGCCCACATCAAATGAAGGAAAATATTGCAGAAGCTGCTAGAGCTGTGGAGGAAATTATGTAAATAGAACTGCAACCAGAAAAGATCCTAAAAATTCATCCAGTCCAGCCCTCAGCTCTGACAAAGGATCAACTTTTCTAGATCATCCCTCGAAACAGTGCAACCTAATTTTTGATTTAACTTTCAGTCAAAGATAGATCACAATACCCTGAGGTAACCTTTTATGATTTTGTACACTTAGTGGTTAGAAATGTTTTTCCACCAACCTTGGTTAACTCTGAGAAATAATTGCTCATATTTATAGAATGAAAGCCTTATCCTCTCCCTTTTTTTCTCCATGAGCAGTCTTTATATGAAGTGACATTTCTTCACTCTTTCTGAAATGTTTAAAAAATGTGGGCAGTAGCTTTTATTCTCTTCTGAACTTCCTCCAACTTTGCTACATGTTTTTATGCATTTAGCCCAAAATGGAAAACAGAATCCAGCTGAGACCTCAACAGTGCTGAGGAGAATGTATCACCTTTGAAATACATATGAATAAATAAAGCATAAAAAGGTCTCACAGTTTTGAATATGATGGTATTGACTCATATTTATTATAACTCAACACCTCTTAATTTTGTTACCATAATTTTAAATTCTAATTCTGTTCCCATTATGCTTTTGAATTTCAAACTTGTATTGTATCCAGCCTTCTTTCTTCAGTGAGTCGCTTCCTGTGATTCCCCTTGGCACCTCTAACCTGAAGTTTTCTTCATGTTAGAGTCTCAGAGCCTATAGAGTCTTTTTAAAGACTGATTTAAAAGGAGTGATTTCTTTTTATATCCAGTCTGCTGATAGTTACATAAATTCAACATTCTAAATCTAAGAGTTTGCCTACCCCTTCTTATGTAAACGTTATGTCTTTATCTTTCATGTAGCAGATGAAATAATTAGGTTTTTTCAATATTGTAACTTAGGGAATGACTGAAAAACTGAAGAAATTTATGAGTAGACCAACAATTCAAAATTTAGCAATGGAGACAGAAAATATTTCTGCATAATAAATATATAACTTTCAAGCAACATTATTTTTTTGCGTGTTAATAGCTTGATTTTGTTTCAAATAAAAATCTAGTTTAAACATGATTTAATGATTGATTATGGAGTCTCTTTGAAAAGTCGTGCTGCTGTACAGCTTTAAATGTCCAGAGTAACTTTAGGATCTAGAATACATGTCCTGTTTTGTTAATTATTTGTGTACTTCCTTTACAATCCTTTATAGCAGGAAGGAATGATTTTTACCCTTTGTTCAAGTTCCTTTTTTTTTTTTTTCCCCAATCAGTTGTTTTTCAATGTTGGGCCACAGTGTTCAGTTTTTCTTATTGCTTGTATTTCCTTTCACAGAAATGAACATCAGAACATACACCCAGAAAATCAAGAGCTAGTGCGAGCTCTTCGTCAGCAGCTTCAAACAGAGCAGGTGTTGTGCCAAATGTTGGCTTCATTTAACTATCTCATTTTGGGTAGTGTAGACTTCTCTGAGGTTCTGGAAGAAGCTGGTCTTGAAAGTTGTGGAAGCTTACTTACTATACAGATGCATCTTTGAACTTTATCAAGTAATGAAATAACATAGGCTTTTTAAATGAATAAGTAATTAAAATTAAATATTCGGCTGGCTCTTTTTGCAGACAAGTTTTTGCCACAAGGTGGAGTATGTTAGATTATGTTGTGCGATTCCTCAATGTTCTGGGGCCTTAGTGGTAAAGGAAAGGAAATCTGGAATACAGCTTGCTGCCACAGTGCAGGGGTTAGATGTTTACGCTGATAACCTATGTGTAGCAGAACAGTGGCACAGCAGTAAGAGCCAGTGAACAAAGACAGACAGAGAGAAACTTTTACCAAAGCCTTTACTGACAAGACAAGGAGCAGTGTTTTTGAACTGAAAGTCAGATTGGATGGGACTTTGAAGAGCCTAAGGTAGTGACATGTCCCTGCCCATGGCAGAGAAGTTGGACTACATGGTTTTTAAACATCCTTCAAACCTCAACCCTTCTATAACTGCATGCAATTCTGACATGTAGAGGAGAGGATGGGTGGGTCTAGGCCAGGTTACTGGAACTTGCCAAGTGCCAGCCTGAGAGTGACAAGCCATATTTTTGGAGAGTATTGAGGAGAGTCTTTCGTCATATTACTTCTTGAAATAATGGCAGATTTTTAACTACAGTGCCTATTTATGTGGAAGATAAATATGAGAAAATTGGGAGAAAATATATTTCATGGCATTGACATACACAAGCTAATGTCTGTCCTTGGGCTTGGGAACACTGAATATTGCAACTGGCAGCAATACAGTTTAGTTACCTGGCTCTGGACAGAACTACTTAGGGAAATGAAGTACAAGTCTCAGTCTGAGTTGTTATTCATGTGTCAGCATGTCTAACCTAACAATATGAAGGACCAAGGTGGTTCTTTCCCTGTGGTCTTTAGCTGGATTGAAGGACACACTTATAGAACAGATGAAGGGAAAATAATGGGCTTGTCACAAGAAGAACTGGCCTAGTGTATCAGTTTTTGCTTTTAATTATGTTTGATTTTTTTGATTTAGATATGTTTCTCTTTCATTTCACATAGTTTTACATTTGATTGTTTGACTTCTAGTGAATGAACACTAGGTTATTTATTTTTTTTTAACTCCGTAGACATGTATAAAAATGGTATCTCTAACACTGCATTTCTGTTGTGTTCCAGCAGGATGCTTCTGCCGATGATAGACTTCACTTCTATACAGATATGTCCTGTCCAGTCTGTTTGCAGCAGGCTACATTTCCTATAGAAACAAACTGTGGACATCTTTTCTGTGGTAAGCAAGAAAAACAAAATAAAAAAAAACTAAGCTGCAAAGATAAAACCAGAACAGAAACACAAACTTTTAGCGCTAGTATAGTCACCTTAATGCAAAGTTCTGTTTGATTTTAGCTGCTTATCTTCTAATGTGCATTCGAAATAATTTTTACATCAATTGCTGAGAAAATATTTGTGAATAAACAAGTCAGATTGAGAATGTGCTGTTTTTCTGTGCTATCAGGATTAAGTCTACAGTTAATTTAAAGATGTCAAAGGTAGAGAGTGTAATTTGTTTCCAGTTAGTAAAAAAATGGAGACGCTGAAAAACACTTGGAAATGCACCATTTAAAAGAAGCAGTTTAGAAAGAGTAAAAAATTCTGTCTGGTGTTATCTTTTTCTCAGAGTGTTGGGTTTTTTTTCTTGGAAGCCCTGAAGAATTAAGGTTAAGTTCACAATGCTTAAAGTGTTTGCCTCTTTCTTTGGGGCCTGTGATTCAAATTTATATAGAAATGCCCTGTGTAGCTGCTGCCTCTTCTTTGTGTTCCCAGGAAGATTCTTTAACTGCGTTCATCTGATTTTATGGAGTATATAATGCATACCATGCCTAGTCATTTAAGCAAAAGAATTTACAAATTTGGAAAACAGTTGAAGTATTCAGATTTTTATATATTCCTTCATCCATTAATAAAGCCAGTTTTTTATGATAAATTTTATATCTCTTCATATTTTTGTGACTTCTAAATTTTAAACTGGTAAAATTTTTAATTATTTGCTTCTTCAGTTAATGATTAAGAAGTCTTCTGTCTTTTCAGTTAATGATACTTTAATAATACAATTGAACCTATCAGAATTTTTCTGCACTTAACAGCACTCAATTTGAACATATCAGTTGTTGGTATCTTCAGTGAATGCTATATACAAAATTATACCAGCAAAGATAGGTTTAACCTAACTGCTTATACACTTCTATTTTTTCCCTTGGTGTGTAGCATGCTATTTCATGCAGTGCGTGTTTCAACTCAGAAGATTAAATGTCTGTAACTTACCTTCATCAGGTTCCTGCATTATTGCCTACTGGAGGTATGGCTCATGGCTTGGTGCCATCCGTTGCCCAATCTGCAGACAAACGGTAATATTTTAAGTAATCATGGGCCTGATAGTTTAGCTATCTAGTGTAGCTTACCTAAAAAGCACTTACATGTGAACTGCAGTAGGGAGACTGACAGAAGGCCGAGAAGCTGAAAGAATATGGATATGTGAGACATAGATGGTGGACATTATTTTGTTTGTATAACACTTTGCTTTGCCAAACGGCTTTAAAAAATGCAGATTGTTCCTGCAACTCAAATTTAAGTGAGCAGCCACTGATAACTCAGCCATTTTTCTGTAAAGGAGTATATGAAAACATAAAATCATAAGATCTTAACTCTGATTTTTCCATGCTTTCTGTTTTGGATGTTACATAACTTCATTACCAGAACTTGCAACTTAAAGACCTGGCTGTTGTGGAAGACTGGCAATAGGCAGTATACTAACTGGTTTCTCAGAAGTACCCTCTCCCTTCCTTCTCTCCCCAGCAAAAAAAACAGTGTTAATTTCTTATTTTGTCCCTATTTTAGTTTGAATGTATTATTAATATGGGCTTTGTAGAGCAAGCATTAACTTCCTACACAGCTTACTTACATTGTCAGTTTGAAATATGTCCCTGCAACTCATTAACACATAGGATCTCTGAGTTTTATAATGTATATTTTAACAAAATATACACTATATATATATAAAATAAAGTACATCTTTATTTTAACTGCACAACTACAGAGCTGTTACCTTCTGATGAATTATATAACATGCTTGATGCTCTTGCCCATACATTATAAGCTACTTTAATTGTCTGTATTAGCAGGACAAATGACTGTAAGAACACAGAGAAAAGAAAGATAGGTATGACTACAGGATGAATGAGTGAGTTTAGAATTTAGCAAGTGAGGTGAGGGACACAAAAAATAAAGATGATGAAGATGGAAAAGGGGAAAATAAGTGATTTGCATGTGTGTGTGCTTGTGTCCATATATAGATATTCTTCTACGTTCTTCTGAATAACAGGTAAATTGGATGGTGCTGCTGACACAGTTATGCATTCATTCTCATTCTGTAACACAGGAGAAGTCAGGTCTGATTTATAAATAGGGGATAGAAGTACGTACACATGAACAGCGTGAGTCATACAGAAGGTTTGTTGAAGGCAGAAGGCAGGGCTAGGAGTTGAACATAGATGGGCCCATGGTGTCATTTGCTAAATGTGACTGCTGCGCAGATACAAGATAAATATTTAGTGGCCAGGTGTTTTTGAAGATTGTAATAATTTGAACTGTTTCCTGTGATAATCTGCGTTTGATACCTGAACATTGCTTCTAAATGCGTTTTCAGAAACTCCTATACAGAAAGGTAACATAAGATACACATGAATATGACCGTACGTGTTTTTCTATGTTTACATGAAAATTAGCTCAAGAACATAGAAGAATTCTCTGTGCTTATGAAAGAGCTGATGGTTAAAATCTTTTCCTGTTTATTATTAATTATTACTCTCCTTGGTCTTGGTTTGAATGCCCATGTGGAAAAGTGTGAGTTTTGCTGCTTGTGTCCTGAAATGCAAGGCCATTCTAAAGATGGAAGAAGAATGGTGCCATTAGTTTCTTTATTTGGTTTTCAGTTTAAGACACAAAACTAGATTAATTTGGCAAATTAACTTTTTTTTATCCAGATCATCTGTCCCACTTCTGAAACATAAAAAACTTAGGTTTTAGAAAAATTTCCCGTAATCCCGTCTTAGAAAGAGGGTTCTTATGCTTGTTATTAACAATCTTTTTTAAAAAATTAATATTCTATAGAGAGTTGTAAGCAATTAATTTGTTAAAACTTAGCAGCAGTATCCATGTTAGTCATTTTGCATTTTATTTTGCTACTAAATATTCAACTAAACAACTGTGTAGTTAACTGAAGTTTGTGATTTTCATTGGTAGTTTACAATGTCTGCATGTAAAAGACAGTTGCACGTGTAACAGAATCTCCCTGCTGTGCCTAGGTAACATTGTTTTTACCGCTGTTCAGTGAAGATCAGCAGGATGCAGCCCAAGTATTTCAAGATGTTAATGATTACAATCGGAGGTTCTCAGGACAGCCCAGATCTGTAAGTTTGGGGAAGATTTGGGTGGAAGTCAGTGATTTTAGGGAAGTTTAACAGTATTTTTTGTGGGTTTTTTTCCCTTTACCCCAACCCTTCCCACGCCCCATTATGAATTTTCTCTTCATGATGCTTAGGGACTATGGGAATTTATATTTATATAATTAAGGCAAATCCATGACCCATGTGAAAAGTATGGAAACTTGCATTTTTGTTGCAAGTGAGAGCTTCTAGTAAGCTTTGAGTTCCCAATTTATGTGTTAAGATCTTTTTTAATTACAACCTTGAAAAGATTAGTCAGTAAAAATGCTTATTGAAATACATGGCGTATAAGGAAGAATATTTACTTGATTGATCTCTTTACATCAATTAGAAGAATCTGGAGTTCTGCTCTTCCTCAGATTTTGCAGTCTTTGTTCTGCTCCCTCAGTGAAGGAAACAGGATTTATTTTTTTTTTCTAAATAGCTAAGCGAAATGGTTGAAGTTCTGTGAACTTTACAAAATCAATCTGGTGAGCCTGTCTTCTATGTGCATGTTCTTATCCACAAGGTAAAATGCATGCACTTGCATACTAGTAACTTTCCCACTTCTCTACGTCTGTTCATTGAATTTGGATATAGTAAGAAAACATTAGCAAGAAAAATCTGTAATCCAAAGAGACATAAGAGGTGCAAGATGGAATTTTTATTTTTTTTTCACATTCTAAACCACAAAACAGTTATACTTTTGATACAGAATAGTTTGAATCTACCTTTCAGGCTCCATTAGACCTTTCTGAGGGCTCTGTGTCTAGTCCCCAGTGACCTGTCTGAGGTCATGCCAGAAGTCTGCATTAAAACCCTTATCAGACTAGATAAATTGTCTTTGATTTATACAGGGTGTGTTGCCTTAACCACATGCAAAATTCCTTTCTTGAGAATTTTTGCAGCCTTGCCAATAACTCTTTTTAATTCATGGCTCTGTGTAGAAACTCTGTAGAGTAGGCAAAGGAAGCAGTATAAAAAAAAAAGACACACAACAAAAATGTGAATATTTTCTACTGAGTAGTCAGATACAGAATCATAGTAGTAAAATGGAAAGGAGGCAGGAATAGATTCATTTAAAGGTTCTTTAATTTACTTTGAAGGCTGATCCATCTTTTGGAAAGTTATGTGAGTCACTGGTTATAAGCCAGGGATGGGGGAGTGAGTTTCTAAAGAACTGCAATCTATTGTACTTCACTTGTTACTTTTTTCTTGCAATCCCTAATTGTCTTCCATTCTAATCAATATTTCACTACAGTTAACCTGTTCTCACTTTCTCAGTCATTTGATTTACTCTAGTAGTCACTGCTTTTCCTTTTTTATAGATGCCAGTGTATTTTGCAGTGAGTTAAATGTATGGTTTATGGTATAGAATGACACAATTTCACTGTTTCTTGAAAACATATATATTCTAAATCTGACTTTTTTCCCAGCAAAACTAAATCCAGGAAGTCCTGTCTTACTGTTTGGTTTTCTTACAAACTAACAGATTCGAAAGCTGTAATGTAGTAATAGAAACTTCAGACTAACTGAAGACAAATATAGCATGGATCTGTTGCTAAAGCAAAATACTAACTTTTGGTTTCTCTCTTATAGATTATGGAAAGAATTATGGATCTGCCCACCTTATTGCGGCATGCTTTCAGGGAGATGTTTTCCGTTGGGGGCCTCTTCTGGATGTTTCGCATCAGAATATTCCTCTGCTTGCTTGGAGCCTTGCTTTACCTGGCTTCACCCCTGGATTTTCTTCCTGAAGCTCTCTTTGGAATTCTGGGCTTCTTGGATGATTTCTTTGTAATTTTTCTTCTCCTGATATATATCTCCATCATGTACCGGGAAGTGGTAACACAGCGGCTGAATAGATGAAATGGACAAAAATTACCCCAGAGCAGAGGCAGTTGTGGGATGTAATATCAGTGTGGTTTACCAAGGCACCTGTGTACAGTTTCAGTAGTTACAACTTTATAGCTGGTCATCTTATACAAATATGAAGGGTTAGTATGTGGTGATGCTTAACTGGACCCTTTAATTATGTATACTACATACGCTTCATAAGATGAGGTTAGTTTTATGATATAATAAGCTACCTTCCTCTTCTTTCACCTGATGAACAATTGTATGTAATCAAAACAGAAAGCACCTTTTTTTGGTGTGTGGTTTATGAAAAAGGAGTTCTAGTAAAGGACTTCTAATGAAAAGTCCATTTGGGTAATCTGGACATATATAAGGAAATCCAGCAATTCTTCACAGTACAGTTGTCACAGCTAGATTTTTTTAAAGTCCCCCTGTTGTGGGCTAGAGTCTTTTAAAATAACAATAGCTTTGTGTGTTTCTGTGGAAGAAGAAACCCAAAGACTGCATTACAATTACCGCCCTGCAGTTTGCTATTGCCCACATGCTTCACAAAAACAAGGAGAACACCTCAGTATTGCTTGAACTGCACTATGTACAGTTGCATGCAATTTGTGCAATTTTATTTTTACATTTGGGAATACACACAGTATTTGATCTAGATAGAGTAACCAATATTATGCACTGGTTAGTGCTGTTTTTAAGTGGGAGCATGATTTTCTTCTTCAGGCTTCTTTATGTGGTAGGTACGTATCTTGAAAGCAGGGGGTTTATGCTGCTCTGGGTCAGTTCAGTGTATCTGAAGTGAGTGTTTGCATTCCTGTAGTTGCATCTGAGTATTTAGCCAATAGAAAGAACTCTCAAATTTTAAATAGTGGTTGAAGAAAAGAAGTCAGAACTGTATGTTTACACTGCAGAACTTTACCTGAATGTACTTTCTGCAATACAAGTATTAAACAACTTAGATATTGGGGTGATTGGTTTTCAGTTGGGGTTTCCTTGTTTGGTTGGTTAGTTGGTTGATTTGGATGTGGGTAGAGTGGGTTCTGAGTTACCTTGAAAACGGTCTGTGATAAGGGACCACAAAAAAATACTAGAAATATTTTTAAAAATACCAGGTTATTAATTATCCTTAAAGTTGATCTTTATTTTCCCTGATGAATTTGAATATAGGCTATCATAGCTACAGAAGTAATTGGAAGTATTTCCATTTTAAGACATTAATACCAGTAGAAAAGTCAAAGATATCATAGGTCTATGTACTTTTTAGTTAGAGGAATAATAATAGCCATTTGAACTTCCTGAGTACTTGAAAGACAGTGATTAGACAGGTGATTCTTTGTGTGTTTACATACATGGGATGAGACTTACAATGAAAGGGACCTTTTCACGACTTCTGTGTTTGCCCATGGTGGCTGGTTGTTAGAGATGGGCAAAAGGGGAAACACTAAGTGAAACAAGGGAGGGAGGAGGAGAACAAAACAGAAAATGGCATTTTTTGGAAGCAAATGCTATTTGGTTTGGCAAACTATCTGTTATTAAGCATCTTAGTTGAGCTTTTCCTTTTGTGTTGGCATTGCTACTGTATGGATGGTTTAGTGGCCAGCTCAGAAGTTATTAAAGTATTATTGAGTAAGTGTGGATGTTCATAAACTGTTAGGTACATTCACAAAGCAAGATAATAGTTTAGGATGTTAGGTATGACAGGATTTTGCAGTTTTGCTGTAAGCATTGTTTGGGTTTTGGTTTTTATTCCCCAAGATACCCAGCTGACAGCAAACTCCAAAAAAGTTTTAATTGAGTAAATTTAACACCATATTTTCTCCTGGAGTTTAACTTGTATGTCTGCTTAGGTAAGAGTGTGAACTGCTGTTGAAGAACAACTGGAGTCTGTTCCTAGAGTTTGTTGATCTATTACCTCCTCCATATGTTTATCCTATGATTGTGTTTATGGTTTTTTCCATGACTCTCCAAGTTCAGAGTGGATATAGAAGTATGTGAAGCTGCTTACTGATTTGCTTTCACTGAGCTTCCCAATTCCACAAGTGTCGTGGTTTAAACCCAGTCAGGTAATTCGTTCGCTCACTTCCCCCCCTTTCTTGCCCTCCCCCTGCTCTCGGAGGGACGGAGAGGAGAATCGAAAAAAAGAATGCAACTCCCACGGGTTGAGATAAGAACAGTTTAGTAACTAAGGTATAACACAGATCACTACTGCTACCACCAATGATAATAATGATAAAGGAAATAACAAGGGAAGAGAATACAACACCTCACCACCAGCCGACCGATAACTAGCCCCCCAAGCCCGACCAAGCTCCGACCGATACCTCCTCCAACCCTGCCGTCTCCCAGCCCTTCCGGCTAACTCCCAGTTACACCCTGGGCATGACGTGCTGTGGTATGGGATACCTCTTTGGTCAGTTTGGGTCAGGCGCCCCGTCTCTGCTTCCTCCTGGCCTCCCCTCCTCCCTGGCAGAGCATGAGGCTCACAGAGTCCTTGGTCAGGGTAAACATCACTTAGCAACAACCGAAAACATCGGCTTCACCAACGCTGTTCTCAAGCTGGAAGTCAAAACACTGCACTACACCAGCTACCAAGAAGGAGAAAAATGACTGCTACTGCTGAACCCAGGACAACAAGCTACTTAAAGTTCATGCAGATAAGGAGGAGTTCTTTACTGTGAGGGTGGTGAAGCACTGGAATGGGTTGCCCAAGGAAGTCTTGAATGCTCCATCCCTAGCAGTTCAAGGCTGGGTTGGACAGAGCCTTGGGTGACATGGTTTAGTGTGAGGTGTCCCTGCCCATGGCAGGGGGGTTGAAACTAGATGATCTTAAGGTCCTTTCCAGCTCTAACTGTTCTGTGATTCTATGATATATCCACCTAAGGGATCTGCTCCTGAAGAACAAACGTTCTTCTGTACCTGAAAGCATGTACAAGCCGCATCTGAGTGGCTTCTGCTTTTTTTTTTTTTTTTTAGTGTACCTGTGCTCTGTTCCTTCCTTCGCTACATTTCTGCTAGCCAGAAAGGTTGCACTCATGAGCTTCTGCTTACTTTTGAATATTGACTAACACTGAAGCTTAAATTCAACACATTAAATGCTTGACAAGATTAGGACCACCCTTCCTTTTCAGCAGTATGTGTGCTTGCTTGTGGAGACTCGTTTTTTTTTGGTCCTCCAAGCCACTGATGAACAGTATTATGACTTGCTCAGGGCTTTTGTGAACAGCTGTGACATGAAGATGCATCTGTCCTGCAGCATCTGGCTGCTGCTGCTTTACATGGATCTGAGCTAGCTGTAAGTTAGCTATCTTGAGTACTTAGCTGGAGCTTAACTTAAGCTCTAGAGCTCCCACGAAGCTGGAGATTAATATATGAGCATGTAGTATTCCTGAAAAGTGTGCTGCCAGGTTGTTCCTCAGTACTGTTAAAGGTTAAGTGCTAGAGCTGAGCACTGTCTTCAGAATGTGAAGGAAATAAGTCATGCTGTGTGGAGAGTGACTGCAAACGTCACTGCAGATTTGTTACCTGGAATGGGGCAGCTGTGTCTTCAAGGAGGAGAAAAGAAGAAAAGAAAATTTTAGCAGCAAAGAAGAGGGGGAAATACAGTTCTTAAAATATTCTTACGGCTTCACCAAAAACTGTGTGAGTTATTTGATTTTTCCAGCAATATGAGCAAAGGAGAAAAGTTATACTTAATAGCTCTTACAGAATAACTTGTAGCATTTTTAGGCCTAATGGTCATTCTTATCATTGTGACAAATGCTGTGTAGGGCAGTCTCTCTCTGTTTTGTGTCCCACACCACAGATGTCTGTGAGGATGAGGCAGAATGGTGTGATTTGGGGATACAATTTTGCCATAGGTTTCATAGAACTATAGCAGACGTGTGTTATACTAGATTTTTTTTTTTAAAAGGATTTAAACCTACTTGTTACTTTTAATTATAATAAATTGCTATTAAAGACTCTGTTGATTTGTTTTATTGACTTTCTGGATGGGAAAGTGTTTTATTCCCTGTTTTCCCTCTTCCCTGGAATAAGGTTCTGCAGCCTCGATCAATGTTATCTGTGGAGAGGATGTTCAGAGGTAACTCAGTGGTTTTCACCTTTGTTACTGCCATTTTAAGGATTACATTACAAGGACCTGATATCTTAGTCCCAAAAGTGTATTGTACGTTAGATGTCTTTTCCCTGAGCAGTCCAGTCGGTACCTGCAGATCCATGGGCACTAAGCTTTCAGGATGATAAAGCAATACAGGTGATTAATTAGCATCTTCACATACCAATCCTCCAAGCAAAGGAAAGCAGATAGATTAGATTCAGTTAGTGAAGCAAGTTGAAAGAAACAGCACATAGTCTCTGTAGTTTTATAGGAAGGATAAAGGTTGGGGTGGGGCAGGGAAGGATTGGATGTAACGGGCCTGTGCTGCAGTCCTGTGCTTTTCCTGATTCATGCCATGTAACCCCTCTGGCCATTAGGAAGACATGATCCATTCTGTTAAGAAATGACCAACAAGTCTTAGCTGGGAAGTCCAGGGCTAAGTTGTGCCAAGTCTTCTGGATGCAGAGGTGAACTCTGTAGCCTGCTTTGAAACACAGTTCCAGTGTTTAGGGAAAAACATATAATTACATATTTGGTAAGAAGCTATTAAATATGGTTCAAAGTTTGATGGGTACACACTTGCCCTTCCATTTGATGCCTCTGTGCTTGCTGTTGGAAGCTCAGTTAAACACTCAAGAGTCCCTCAGCCAAGGCTGCCAGAATAGATGGCTGTTCTAGAAGGTTGTACAGTTGCAGGTGTTGGCTGGTTTACTGCTTCTAGCCACCAACCAAATGGGCAACTGCCTGTTAGTCACCACTAGTGGAAGCATTTGTTCAAAGGAAACAGAGCAATAAGTCTCATTTTCCCATTCTCATAGAATCATGGAATCAAGTAGGTTGGAAAAGTCCTTTAAGATCATCAAGTCCAACCACTACCCCAAGACTGCCATGTCTGCCATATCACTGAGGGCCTCATCTACATGGTTTCTGAACACTTCCAGGGCGGGTGATTCCACCACTTCCCTGGGCAGCCTGTTCCAATGCCTGAGCACCCTTTTGGTGAAGAAATTGCTCCTAAATCCAATCTAAACCTCTCCTAGTGCAGCTTGAGGCTGTTATCTCTTGTCCTATCTCTTGTTACTCAGGAGACCAGTCACCTCCTTGCTCCATCCTCCTTTCAGGTAGCTGTAGAGAGCGATAAGGTCCTCCCAGAGCCTTCTCTTCTCCAGACTAAACACCCCCAGCTCCCTCAGCTGTTCCTCATCAGACTTGTGCTTCATGTGAGGTGTTCCTGCCCATGGCAGGGGGATTGGAACTAAGTGATCTTAAGGCCCTTTCCAACCCTAACTATTCTATGAATCACAGAATCATAGACTAGTTTGGGTTGGAAGGGGCCTTAAAGCTCATGCAACTCGAAACCCATGCCACAGGCAGAGACACCTTCCACTAGACCAGGTTGCTCAAAGCCCTGTCCAACCTGGCCTTAAACACTGCCAGGGATGGGGCAGCCACAGCCACTCTGGGCATCTTTATGCCACCGCCTCACCAGCCTCACAGTACAGAACTTCTTCCTTATGTCCCATCTAAACCCAACCTCTTTCAGTTTAAAGCCATTACCCCTTGTCTTAGCAGGACTTGCTCTTATAAAAAAGTCCCTCTGCAAGAGAAGAGGGGGACATGAGGAAGACACAAGTCTTCAGATATGTTGAAAGAGGATTCTATTATCTGCATTAAATATAACTGGAGGAAGTAGCAGTGATCTTGAATTGCAGGAAATTAGATACAGATGAGACGCAACTTGCTAAAGTGTATTGGGAGAAGATACTATCTGGGGCATCAATGGAACCTCTGCTGGGAGGCTTCTGAAGGCAGGGACTGGTGTCTGCACAAGTAGTCCTCCCTGGGGAAGGGGCAGATGAATGAAAACATAGCTACTTTCAAGGCAGCTGGTCCGGGCCTTAACAGACATGGGGCCAGAGAACTCCTGATCTGCCCAAACCTGTCTTGCTGCTGATGTTTCTGACGCACGTCACCTGTATACATCAGACATTAGACTTGACTAGCTTACCTTTCCCTGAGAGTTTTGCTGAATAGCAGTGCTTAAAATCCCTGGGGTAATGATATGGCTCCACCTTACTTCAGAACACTTTAATTATTATTTACAATAATATTCCATTTTATTACAAAAATTCATTGTTTGTCCCATGTTTTCTAAGATGATTATTCCTCATGACTAACAGATGCTAAATTGGTGGGAGGGAAAGAGGGGGTAAAGGAACATAATTGATAATATTGAGTCAATTGCTCACTGCTGGCAGGTAGCTGATGAGGAATCATGGATGTATCAGGTGTTACTAATAGCTTGGCTAGAATCTGTTGCATGGAAAGCTGTTGAGCTTTGCTGTAGCATATGTTCTGCTTCACAGGCAATAATTGTTTTTTCCTCTCTCCCTCTTTCTACCTTTGTTCTGGAAAACTATTTCTTCTTTTCCCAAGATGGGGAGGCAGAAGGATCTGGAAATAATCCATGCTGCACTTCATACAGGGCAGTGTCAGCACTCCTCAGTAAATCACCTTTTTCAAGGAGAGGCCTCCCATCACCCTGTGGGACATGCCCTTACTCTTTAAAGGTCACAATTTTGCTTTTACTGCCTTCTTCACCAGGTGTTGATGCTGTTGCCTTTGTGCTCTTGCTGTAACTAAGGTCATGATATTCAATTTAATGCAGGATGACCCAAAGTAGCTATTACAATGTGCTTCATCAGTGAGCTGGTTTATGACAGTTTATGGTTTATGTTTTCATCCCATCTTTAGCATCCAACCAAACAATGTGAAGCTGTTCTAGTCTCATTTCTCTTTGCAGGTTTTTGTAGCTTTGTTCTTTCCCCTTCGACTGTCTTACTGTGGTGCATAATGACCACAGTAAAGATCACAAAGCAAATTTCAATGAATTGCTTGTATATGACAGCAGTTCACACCTGAATATCCCTTCCAGGCAACCTCTTAATGTGTTTTGCATCTTGTAGGCCATGCATCAGGAAGGAAGGTGGAAACGTGTCTGTTTAAATGGGTAAATTCCTCATGGAGCAATCTGAAGAAGACAGTTCAGTACAGCTCAGTGGTGCAGCTCCATGGGTCTGCCTCCTCAACACACAAGGAGCTGGGCACCCTGGGTCTGCTGCCGTTCCCCAAGAAGGATGAAGGACTTGGAGTCCAGCAACCTTTTGGCTTATGCCTATAATTTGCTCCTGGTTTGATAACTGCAAGTGGAGAATGGAGATGAGAAGAAGCATGGCATTAAAGCAAACCTATTGTTAGGCAGGGCTGTATTTGCACCTGGGAGGCTGGAGAAGAACCTGTGCACTAAGGAGCTATTGCACACAGTTTCAGTCACGGCTGGAGATACTGGTTTTCTCTGTCGCTGAGGCTGTCGGGTGCAAGTCTTTTCATGATGAAAAACAAGGCATTGCTTTGAACATAATCTCGGTGGTGTTATCCTTTATTTACATACAGGTATTTTGAGCCCCTGGGGTTCTTGTTCTCATGGTTTTGTTCACAGCTCCCACAAGCAAGGATTGTCTCAGTATGAAAAGTAGAAAGGAGAACTCAGTAATCATATTGCAACTGCAAGAGCCCTAGGAAAAAAAAACAACCCACAACATATAAGACACATGATTAGAACCGCAGAGACTGGCAACATGGTGCTGGCAAAGCCGCTTCTCTGGAAATCCCGTGAACTTCCCGTTCTGGGCTGCTAGGCAGACCCCTTCCTGGATTCCCATCTTTGCTCTTGATTCATTTCACCTTGCTCAGAAGAAATGTGCTATTGACAGCAGTATTTTTAGATCAGCAGCAGAAGTAGCCACGCTAGCCCAGCCCCAGCAGACCTTTCCCTGTCCTACCTCCTACTCTGCAGTGGGCTGCTGCCCTCACTGACTTGCAGGGGCACTGCAGGCACCACCATAGAACTGGGGCAACGGAGCAGAGGCCAAACGTCTCATAAAGTAGGAAATTGCTGGTGTTCCATTGCCAAGAACAGGAGAAGGAAGTAGGACAGAGGGAGCCAGGGGACCAGCCCCCATCCCAGGAAATGCCTAGAAGAACAGCCCCAGGAAGGTATGTTGCCTAGCAAAGGCTGGTGAGACCAGATCCTAATGGAGACCCATGAGGAGTGCGAGACATTCAAAAAAGCAAGCCACAGTGCAGCTGCAGCCTGGGCAATGGGTCCCAGCATTGGCAAGCTGATGCAGGGAAGCCACAGCAAGGCAGGACCTGCCCTGCTGCACCCTCAGTGCCACAGAGCAGTTTCGCCCAACGCCAGAGAAGCAAGCTGATCCCTGGGGCAAGGGCTGAGCTGAGGAGGTAGCTGGCCCAGCACCCCTGCCATCCAGTGGGGCTGTTAGAGGGTGAGTTTCTCACACTGTGCTCCTTGATGTGGCTGTAGGGCTCTCCAGCTTCCTTGAGGGCCACTGGCTTCTCAGGGCATCTGTTGCTGCCTTTCTTTGTGCTGCTGCAGACAGAGTGACCTGAGTCCAGCGGGAATGAATTCGTTGAACAGCTCATCATAAAGGAGCACAGCGTCAGCTTGCTTGTGTGCTCCTTGCTTTGGCCAAGGGGAGTGGCTCCAGGATAGCATTGTTCCTGGTAAAGATGATAGCAGGTAAGCAGTGGCACAAGTTGTCCCTGCCACTAAGGGAAGCTTCACGGATGGACCCAGGATGGATAGGCTCCTCAGGGCAATGTACCTAGTCTTGGTGTCTCACCTTGCTCCTTATAGGCATTTGCTGTAGTTTCTTTTCCAATCAGCTCTTTCTGTGCATTTTACTTAAGTATTTATGCTTTCTTGGGTGGGCTATGTCCTATAATCTCCATTGCCCTTAACATGGGATTTGCTGCTACACAGAAGCAGTGTGGGGGTACTG